ACACTGGGGAGAGGCCTTATGAGTGCAGTGAATGTGGGAAGTTCTTTCCCTACAGCTCCAGCCTCCGAAAACACCAGAGAGTTCACACTGGATCAAGGCCCTATGAGTGCAGTGAATGTGGGAAATCCTTTACTCAAAATTCTGGCCTTATTAAGCACAGGAGGGTTCACACTGGGGAGAAGCCTTATGAGTGCACTGAATGTGGGAAATCCTTTAGCCATAACTCCAGCCTTATTAAACACCGGAAAATTCATAGTCGATAAAAGCCTTATGACTGGCAAGTATGGAAAATCTGTTAGCACCCTGGAGAAAGTCCTTGAGTACAGTTAATGTTAGAAAGCTTCAACTGAAGGCTGCATCTCATTGAGTACCACAGAGTTCACAAGGGAAAGACACTTTTGATATGTGGAGATGTCCAGTTGCTATAACAGCTCTGAAGGGGATCCCTTATGAGGGTGGCATCAGCCTGAATTGAATCTCCTATATCTGAACATCTCCATAAATTCCAGGTATGTGGGAGCTGCACTGCACCTTTTGCCCTGCCCAGGGCCCATGCCAGATTTATGTCTGCTGATTCTGTAGTGAGAGCCATTTTACCTCTACTGCCTGGCTGGTGGTCACAGTGTACACCATTCACCCACCACAGTGTATTCAGGTAAGTGAACCTTGGTGTTCTCCTGTTATGGGAGGAATTTGTAAATAGCCTAAGCATTTATTCCTTTCTTGTTTTTTTTTTCTCTTTGATAAGTTAGGCCATGGACCTGATCCAGTTTGGCCCAGAGGACTCTATGGGTGACCTGAAAAGAGGGACTACCTATTTCAGGATATTGTTGACCTCACATGACTCTTGATATAGTTTGCCAGCCTCCAAATCACCAACTGTGGGAGCCACCTGCCTCTTATTGCCCTGGTTTGTACAGTAATAAAGGCCTTACTAATCTTGGGGGTTCTAGTCACTGTATGGGTTGGTTTGAAAACAACTGGGTTCTGCTAACATGAAGGGGTAACTTTTTGGGATTCCCAACTGTGTGGCTCAACAGGGACAGGGACAGTGGGATGGCAGAATAGAATTCTCTTTCTAGTTTGAGCCTAGTTTTCATTGCCATTCAAGGCCTCCAAGAAAAAACTGCAGGATATTGACCTAATTTATATCCTGGATGCCATAATATGCTGTGGTTTCAGAGGTCAATCTAAGTAGGCAGCAATCCTATGACATCCTTTGGTGCTTCTGAAAGCAACAGGAAATTGTTCTCTTGTTTGTAAGGAATATTGCATTGTGTTCAGTGCTGTTGGGGAATATCTGTTCCCCAGGTTCTATATGCCTTGATATCCTGAATTCCATAGGGTAGCACCACAGGTGGTAAGATTATAGCAGGAATTGTAATTGTTATAGAAGTTCTAGATTGGTATGGAGTGGAAAACTGCAATAAATAGAATGTGCCCCTTTAACAGAGGTTTCCATGATGTTCATCATTACGGCTCTTAAGGATGAGCAGGTACAGAAATTCTCAGGAATTCCAGAATTGTGTATCTTGTGTAGCTAAGGTCATTGTCAGAAATTTTATGGAATCCTGTAGCCTCTGGGATGTTCACTTCAAGGTCACTGCTATGCAGGCAGGAAAACAAGGATAGAGAAGAGAGGTCTAGGCCACTGATACAGCCTTTGTAATCCAGCCATCATTTCTGACTCAACTTGAGTCAGAAATGTTGGCTGGATTACACATTTGGCTGGAAATGGCTTTCACTGTTTACCTATATTTGCTATCACTGAGGCAAAATCCTCTCCCAGGACATGAGGAGAGAGATAGTGGAATCAACTTAAGAGTTGTCAAACCTGATTCTCCAAAAACAATAGGAAATTCAGACTTTTTTTTTTTTTTTTTTTGAGACGGAGTTTCGCTCTTGTTACCCAGGCTGGAGTGCAATGGCGCGATCTCGGCTCACCGCAACCTCTGCCTCCTGGGTTCAGGCAATTCTCCTGCCTCAGCCTCCTGAGTAGCTGGGATTACAGGCACGTGCCACCATGCCCAGCTAATTTTTTGTATTTTTTTTTAGTAGAGACGGGGTTTCACCATGTTGACCAGGATGGTCTCGATCTCTTGACCTCGTGATCCACCCGCCTCGGCCTCCCAAAGTGCTGGGATGAAATTCAGACTTTTATTTTGAACCATATTTTGTTAGGCTGGTGCAAAAGTAACTCTGGTTTTGAACTATGATTTTTCTTTTTTTTGTCAGAAGTCTTGCTCTGTCATCCAGGCTGGAGTGCAGTGGTACGATCTCAGCTCACTGCAACCTCCGCCTCCTGGGCAATTCTCCTGCCTCAGCCTCCCAAGTAGATGGGATTACAGGTGCCCACCACCATGCCCAGCTGATTTTTGTATTTTTAGTAGAAATGGAGTTTTGCCATGCTTGCCACACTGGTCTCAAATTCCTGACCTTATGTGATCCACCCACCTGTGCATCCCAAAGTGTTGGGATTACAGGCATGAGCCACGGCGCCCTGCCACCTGCATGCATTTATTTTCATTACATTTCCTTCTGGTCTGCAATGTCTTTATGAAAAAATCCATTGATAGTCTTATGAGGAATCCTTTGTGTACACCGCAAGTTCCTTTTCTCTTCTTCCTTTAGGTTTTCTCTTAAACTTTTTAACAATGTGATTATTATAAATCTCATTATGGATCTCTGTATTCATCTTATTTTCTGTCCTTTGCACTTCAGGAATTTGGATTTCTATTCTCTCTCCCAGGTTGGGGATTTTCAGCCATTATTTCTTTAAATAAGCTTTCTGGGCTGGGCATGGTAGCTCACGCCTGTAAGCACTTTGGGAGGCCAAGGTGGGTAGACCACAAGGTCAGGAGTTCGAAACCAGCCCGACCAACATGGTGAAACCCCGTCTCTACTAAAAATACAAAAATTAGCTGGGTGTGGTGGCATGCGCCTATAATTCCAGCTACTTGGGAGGCTGAGGCAGGAGAATCGCTTGAGCCTGGGAGGCGGAGTTTGCAGTGAGCCAAGATCACACTACTGTACTCCATCCTGGGCAACAGAGCAGACTCCTCAAAAAAAAAAAAAAAGTGCTTTCTGTCCCTTTCTGTTTCTCCCCTCCTGCTGGAATTTCAATAATGTGTACAGTGTTCTGCTTGATGTCCCATAAGTCCTTTGAGTTATCTTTTTTTTGCTCATGTAAATCCAGCACTTTGGAATTCCAAAGTGGGAGCATCACCTGAGGCCAGGAGTTCAACACCAGCCTTAGCAACTGTAGCAAGACCCCATTTCTACAGAAAAATAAAAAGAAAAAAATTAGCTGGGCATGGCAATGCCTGTCTGTAGTCCCAGCTACTTAGGTGGCTGAGGCAAAAGGATCATTTGGGCCCAGGAATTTGAGGCTGCCGTGAGCTATGCTAACACCAGTGCCCTCCAGCTTGGGTGTCAAAGCAAGACCACGTCAGGAAGGAAAGGAGGGAGAGAGGAAGGGGGAAAAGGAAAGAGGAAGGACACTGTTGATTGTTGTGGTTCTTTTTCTCTGTTGTGGTTATTTCTTTTTTTTTTTTAAGAAAAGACTACTATTACAGTCTACTTTCACTTAAGAACAAATATGTAGGTAGGATGTGGTAGCTTATGCCTGTAATCCTAGCATTTTGGGAGGCTGAGGGGTTGGATCACTTGAGATCAGGAGTTCAAGATCAGCCTGGCCAACATGGTGGAAACCTGTCTCTACAAAATATACAAAAATTAGCTGGGCATAGTGGCATTTGCCTGTAGTCCCAGCACTCCAGCCTGGGTGTCAAGAGTGACACTCCATCTCAAAAAAAAAAAAGAAAAAGAAAAAGAAAAATGTTTATGCTTTTTTTTTTTTTTTTTTTGAGACGGAGTTGCCTAGGCTGGAGTGCAGTGGTGGCTCACTGCAACCTCCGCTTCTGGGTTTCATGTTGGCCAGAGTGGTCTCAAATTTGTGACCTCAGGTGATCTGCCTGCCTTGGCCTCCCAAAGTGCTGGGTTTGCAGGCATGCGCCACCACACCTGGCCTATTTTTCAACTTTAGCTATACAAATTGTCTGTGAAACTCAACTGAATCACAATTAGAATTAATGTAAAAATTGAATATTCTTCCCAGATATGACCACTATGTGTAAAAAATGTTTTACTGTAATTTGTTTTTTTTGTTGTTGTTGTTTTTTTAAGACGGGGTTTCACCATGTTGGTCAGGCTGGTCTTGAACTCCCGACCTCAGGTGATCCGCCTGCCCTGGCCTCCAAAGTGCTTGGATTACAGGCGTGAGCCACCACGCCCGACCTTTACTGTAATTTGAGCATATCAATTTAAACTTAATTTTTAAATGTAAAGAAATGCAAATAAAAACATGGGGGATCCTGATCAAAAAGCATTGAAAAGATTAAATGAAGAGACATATTACTGGATGTGAAATCTCATTATTGCCAGTAAGTTATTATTTTCCAAATTATTTTCTACATTAAATTATAACTAATTCCTCCCCCAAATAAAAAACCCCATTGCTTCTGGAATCCACATAGACTAAAACTCCAAACTTAAAGAGAACTGGAGAAAAGATTTGCAAGTTATATGTTGGATAAAGGGTTAATATTCAGAATATATAAACTTCTACAACTTAACAAAAAGCCAAGTAGCCTAATTAGAAAATGGGCAAACAGGCTGGGCATAGTGGCTAACTCTTCAAATCTCAGCACTTTGGGAGGCCAAGGTGGGTGGATCACGAGGTCAGGAGATCAAGACCATCCTGGCCAACATGGTGAAACCGCATCTCTACTGAAAATACAAAAATTAGCCAGGTGTAGTGGTGCGCAGCACCTGTGGTCCCAGCTACTTCAGAGGGTGAGGCTGGAGAATCTCTTGAACCCAGGAGGCAGAGGTTACAATGAGCAGAGACTGTGCCACTGCACTCCTGCCTGGGTGACAGAGCAAGACTCCGTCTCGAACAACAACAAAAAAGAAAATGAGCAAAGAACTCGTAGGTTTTCTCCAGTGAAGACATACAAATGGGCAACATGTATATGAAGAGATGCTCAACACTAATCAGTAGATAAATGCATATCAAAATCACAATAAAATATGTTACCTCACACCCATTGTGTGAGGTACTAAAGTAAGTGCTAAGGGCATAGAGAAATGGAACATTTGTGCATTCTTGATGGAAATGTAAAATGGTACAGCCACTACGGAATACTGTAATAATAGGGGAAAAAACCTTTGAATTTCAATGAAAGTATGGAATCCTCCTTTGTCCAGAGCAAATCTCTTTCATCAGACTTACTATTACAGAAAAATCTGTACATGTGATGAATGTGGAAAAGGCTTTGGCAAATAATCCTTAATTGCATCAGATAATTTATAGTGGAGACAAACTTACATCATCAATGCTGGAAGACTTTTAGGTACAGCTCATGTCTTACCTGATACATATATTGAATGTGGGAAGGCCTTTAACCATGGCTTAACACTATTATCAAATTTCTCATATAAAAGATAAACTGTATAAATGTGCACAGTGTGGAAAGTCTTAGTCATGTCTTCCAGCTCATTGAACATGAGAGAATTCATACTTCAGAAACTATATCATTGTAGTGTATGTTGAAGGCCTGTGTCCACACATAATCTCTGATTCTCCATCAGAAAATTCATAGTGGAAAGAAACCTTATCAATGGAATGAATGTGGAAAAGGCTTTAGCTAAAGTTCACATTTGCTCGGCATCAAAGGATTTCACAGTGTAGAGAAATAATGTCAGTGCAATAAATCTTTTAATAAAGACTAAAAGTGTTTGAAGTCTTTTAGTAAAAAGACTTTTAGCCTTTTTTTTTTTTTTAAAATTTTTTGTAGAGACGGGGTTTCACTGTGTTATCGTCTCCATCTCCTGACTTCGTGATCCACTCGCCTCAGTCTCCCAAAGTGGTGGGATTAAAGGTGTGAGCCACCATGCCCAGCCTAGCCTTTCATTTTTTATTAAACATCAGAATGTTCATTTTGAAGAAAAATCATTAGAATCTCAAAAAATGCAAGAAATCCATCCACCAGTATGAATCACTGAATCTGCACATCAGAAATCACTATATAGAACCATTGCAAATACAGTCTGTGGGGAAACAAGTTACATGTCTTCACTATTTCAAGAGAAATACTATAAATGTATTGAATATGGAAAGACCTTCAGCTGTAATTTAAATCTTAGTGTACATTGCAGGATTTATACTGGATATAAACCATATAAATGTAATGAATGTCGGAAAGCTTATGGCAAAAGCTCAAATCTTTCAATCAACAATGGAGAGAAAACCCTATTAGTGCAACAGTATAAAAACGGTTGGACAAGGCCGGGCGCGGTGGCTCAAGCCTGTAATCCCAGCACTTTGGGAGGCCGAGGCGGGTGGATCACGAGGTCAAGAGATCGAGACCATCCTGGTCAACATGGTGAAACCCTGTC